CCCTGCCTCTTTCCCATCTTCTTTCCACCCAGAGCAGGGTGGGAGTAGCAGCAGCTGGTGCTGCAAGGATCACAGGCAGAGCCATGGAAGCAGCGTGGGGGGAGGGGACAAAGCTGAAGATAAACAGCAGCCTGGCGAGGATGTTGTTGTCTTGGTGAAATGATCATTTTAAAATTACCTCAGAACCGGGCTGCTCCGTGTAAGACAGAACACCCTCACTCCAACAGCAGAGGAAATTAACAACTCAAAGAACAGCTAAGGCAGAGAGCAGCCTGCAGGGGGTGATGCCAACTCCAGTGTCCTCTCAGAAGCCACCTCGTGGTATTTTCTACCATTACTCAGCTGATATAAGATTCTGCCTAAAGCAGAGGCAGCCCAATTCATTCCCCTAACTAGGAGCTACAGGGCAGAAGGCAACCGTTTGTCAACACACAAACAACCTTTTGTTCTCACACGGGAAGGGACAGCTAATGGGGACTTCGATGTGAACACAAGATGAAGGGCAACCATGTTTGAAAGCCATTTCCAAACTAGAGCCCAACACAAAATACCATCTGTGCCACAAAAGCCACTGTAACGTAGGCTCCTTGTGCCAGAAGTGGTTCAGGGTTGTAGAACTTCTTTCTTATCCCATGGTTGGACAAGAACATTCTCTTACAGTGCCCCCATTTTAGGAATAAAAACCTTTCAACCTACAGCTTTCTTTAAATGCTTCCAAGTCCTCAATTTACTGTGTTATCCTGTGTGACAAAGGGATGATTTTACGACTGAATTTCAAAGCTTTAACTTTAGGATTTTTAACAGGTGAAGAGCAGTAGCCACTGACAGGAGAAAAAAAAAAATCAACTCAGGGAAGTTAAGACTCAACAGGCTTCAAAGTGAGTAGGTGCACATGTACCTCTCATGCTGCTCTTACCTGCAATTCACGGTGGCTCTTGCAGCACACTCTAATAAAGTCAGTGGTATTTTCAATTGTACGTTGGGAACAAGTGGATTAGGCTGCTCAAAAGGATTTCCAAAGAGATCCAAGTTCTCAAGACAGAGTTTCCTAAAATCACTGGGCAGGAAAGGAAGTTTGTTTCTTGCTGCTGACAGAAAACGTAGATGATCCAACTGGCCAATCTTGAAAGGCAACCTGATCATCTCGTTGTCATCCAGCTTTAAATTGACGAGTTCCCGCAGCTGGCAAAACTGAATGGGAAGTGCTTTAATTTTGTTCTGGCTGAGGTCCAAGGACTGAAGAGATTTCTGAAGGGTGGAGTTGCACAGAGCCCCACTGAAGGACTCCAGGTGATTGTCGTGCAGATTGAGCTCCTGCAGACAGACCAGGTCCCCGATGGTCGCGGGCAGCTGCTTGATGTGGTTGTGACTCAGGTCCAGTTTCCGAAGCTTCTTCAAGCAAAGCACCCGCGTGTCGATCCGAGCAAGTTTGCAGTAGGAGGCCTGGAGATGTTCCAGGGAGTAAGGGAAGTTTTTGGTCAGGGGATAGTCCCTTCTGGAAGTGATGATCATTTTGGTCTTCGGTTTTTCAACTTCTGAGGTCTTGGCTGGTACCAGAGCTGAGAGCGGGAGGGCTCCTGCGTCAGCCCCTTGGTGAGCCAGTCTCACGGCTGAAAGGAAAGTCTTTAAATTGCTGGCATTTGCCTGGGGGGAAACACGGATGGGGAATTAAAAGTTCGTTATTCTTCTGCTCTGTTTGTACTAAGGCTTTTCTGAACTATTTTGCACCCGTATCAGGAGATGTGCAGCTCAGCGTGGCAATGAAACAGCTCAGCTTATGAGGTTGACATGGTGTTTACAGTGTTTAAGGACAATTGGCATGTGATTTGAATGAGAAGTCCCGACCCCTGGAATAATCTAGATCAAACAAACGGTCAAAAAAAAGGGAACAAAGCACTGAATTCACAGCTGAAAATAAAGTACAGGAAAAAAAAGCCCGGTGCACCTGATCCTCCTGACCTGCAACACGATCCAGGCCCAGTTTATAAAAGCACCCATGGGGAAACCAGGGATCTAAAACCTGAAACAATAATTTCTCAAAGTTAGGAGGAAGTAAAAGGATGGAAGCTGAGGTTACATTTAACATAAAGGGAGGGGGAAAGCTCCAAGGCAAGTTAAGTGCTTCGGGTCACACAGCTCTTTTTGGTTGTGCCAGCATCAAACAAGAGGATAATTATTTGCAGTCCTTCTGGAAACAACTGTCCAATTTTGCTTTAGGTGGCATATAATATAATGGCAGTAAGGACAGAGAGTCAAATTAAAGGAACATCAGATGATCAGTGCTTCAAATCAAGGTGTAGAAAGCTGTGATACAGTTGTTGTACTGATACAATTAGTTTTTAAGAGTAACAGGGTGACCAAATATTTATCTTTAAATTTCCAGCAAGTCTCTACCCAAGCTGACCCACAGCTGACAGACATTCAGATGTAAAGTGAATTATAAAATAAAAAGCATGATGCATCCAGACAGGTAAAGTAATTTCTCGTTGCATGAAAGAGCAAACGTGGAGTTGTGGCACAGAATCGTAGAATCCCAGGGGTTGGAAGGAACCTTGAAAGATCACCCAGTCCACCCCCCCTGCCAGAGCAGGGGCACCCAGAGCACATCACACAGGAACGTGTCCAGGCGGGTTTGAATGTCTCCAGTGAAGGAGACTCCACAACCTCCCTGGGCAGCCTGGCCCAGGGCTCTGTCACTCTCACAGTAAAAAATTTTTTTCTGATATTCACCTTGAACCTCCTGTGCTCCAATTTGCACCCATTACCCCTTGTCCTATCACTGGTCATCCCTGAGAAAAGCCTAACTCCATCTCCCTGACACTCACCCCTTACATATTTGTAAACATTGATGAGGTCACCCCTCAGTCTCCTTTTCTCCAAGCTAAAGAGACCCAGCTCCCTCAGCCTTTCCTCATCAGGGAGATGTTCCACTCCCCTAATCATCTTTGTAAGCTCAGAGTCCAGAGGTTTGCACTCTGGTCCCAGCCCTAACTTGCCCAAGCCTAGTAACACCCATTTCTGTACCCAAAAGATAACTTTGCTCCTAAATGTCTTTGTTTACACCAAATTCTAGAGTGTGCAGATGTAGCTGACACAAAGTGCCACAAGCACCTAAGAGAAGAGAGCAACAATCTGGGCAACTTCTGGGTGCTGCTGTGATATAAAGACAAGGAGGGTCAAAGACACAGAGTGCAGAGCTAACTCCACGCCTGGTCTCCTTCATCACCCCTTGCACTTCTAGTCTCTTTACCCCCTGACATGGTGTCCTCCAGAGATGGGCCAGTTTCACACCACAAACCTCTGTTATCCAAGACCACCAGTGTTCATTATCTCAACCAATCTAACTAAAACATTTAGCTGCAGGACTCCCCCTAATTACAGGCAGGTTTCTCACATTTCCAAGGGTAATAAATAGCTAACTAAATTTGGAAGTAAGGAGAAAAAGTCCTCCAGATCTGTGAAGACCACGTAAAATAAATAACTGTACATTAGAACTGAGTCACAGGCAACATTTCATTGATCTCAAAGCAACAGATAGCTGTTCTGTGTAGCCAAAAGCTCTAGGATGTTAAGATTAAGTTTACACTGTTCATGTTACTTCAAATTAAGAACACTTTGGGTTCTGAATCCTCAAGACAAATCTCCTCCACAATACCTTAGTAAAGGTAATGAAGTATCTGTAAAACTTGTTGATGAGAAACCTTGAGGTATCCTGACAAAAATACCAAGACACAACTAAGACAAAAAAAAGCACAGAATAAGCTGGAAGTGCTCAGGACCCAATTTTCTGCCCTTTTCTCACATAAAAGTTGCCAGGAAAAGCAGTTAATCTGTGTGAATGCCTCACAAGTCCCTTGTTTCAGAGCTCAGTGAAGGATGGCAAAGCAATGGGAGGTTACATGGCTTTCAGGCCTTGCATGCAGTGCTGCAGGCACAGGCTTGCTGAGGGAAAAGAAACACCCAACCCCGCAGTGACTTTGTTATTTTTGCTCCAGGGCTGAATGCTCCTGATGTCTCTCCACTTAATTTCTGATGTGGCTGAATGGCACCCTCTGGCAGAGGACAAGGGGTGGGGTTTTGCATGGCAGCAGCACACAGCTGGTACAGTCAGACCTGGAAATCTCTTTTCTACAAAGTCCATCTTTCAGAATTCAGAAGCCTGTTTTTTTTTGGTAGTGAAATTGCAAAAGACCAGCAGAAACACTTTGGAAAAACGATCAATTTTAAATGGAGTTTCAGGGTTTGGAGCATTTAAGAGGAATATAGTGTAGCTTTGGAAGAATTTAGTGGATTTGCTCCTGGAGTTTGACAGTAGGAGGGCATGTGAGGACCTGGCCTCCTCAGAGCAACTCTGGTCATTGTTCTAACTCCTGCTTCATTAGATTTGGTTGAGACTTTCTTTTCAGTCTAGCAACACTGAGGACTATCTTCTCACACAGAACACAACAGATGAAGTTCTTAACAAAACTACTCCCCACACTGTAACAAGGTCTGTCACACGGTTACCCTACAGGCCCTACCAGTGGTCTGGATGGGCTCTTGCAGCACAAAGACACAGCACTTTCTGATGCTGGATGATCCCCCTTTCAGCAGGCCCTGCTTTTGTACCTTTGTGCTGAGAGAAAACTTGGACTTCTCACACTTCAGCAGAAATATGCAGGGTAAAGGATGTAGAACAAAGAGTCACTCTGGATCTAACACAACATGCATGGGTTTTCACTTTGCCAGATACTGAGCCCGTTTGCTTCTGACAAGAAAAACTTCATTTAATTGCATCTGGACACACCCTGCTTCTTTTCTATTTAACCCTGTAAGGTGAACTGCTCTCTTCACCAAGAGCAGGCTGCTTTCCTCACCACCACAGCCTTCACTCCTGCACAAAGTACCTTCAGATCACACTCATCCTGTAAAACCTTGGGCTACTGTAACTATATTCAGGCTTATACTCAGTCTTGTCCCCCATAAAATAAGCACCTTTTCTTTCTTGCTGGGTCCTATTTTGTTTTCTTTTCAGTAAGTCCCTGTCCCAAGCACAGAGTCATTCACCTTGCTCCTCCAGCCTGTCCTGAGCTCCACTCCACTCTGGCAGGACTGTTGTCAGTGCCTGTTGCAGCTGCAGTTCAAACACACCCTGTGCACTCCTCCTCAGATGTGTCCCTTTGCCAAAACACTGCTCTGAAGGAGTGAGCTTCACTGCTCCTGCTAACAGCTGCTCAGTCTGACACCACTAAAGTTATTAAAGGATTTCCCCCAGGCCAAAGAATCATCATTGCAACAGAAAGTCAAAGTGATTTTCCAAGGGAAAAAAAAAGAAAGACAGTATGATCTGCTTTTAATTACACATCCAAGGTTTTAGAAAAGCTGCCCTGCTTTCCTCTTTTTCACAGCTACAAGAGATTATGTGAACAGACACAGAAAAAAACACCTCAAGGCATAAAACCTGAATGTTCATCCGTGATTTTTGGGTGAGTTTAGTCTGATTAAGAACACTTCAGAGCTTCCAAATATCCTGTGAACTGTAAATGACTACACAGCTGAGTCCTACTAAGCATTAAGGTGAGATGGTGCCCTTACTGCTGATCCACAAAGTGGGTCTCCAGCTTTGAAAACCCTGGCAGGCACACTGATTATCCACCCAGGCATAAAGGTTTCCCAGTTTTTAGTTAGCAAGACTGTAAGAAATTGCCCATTTGATAGAACTAATGGCTGAAGAGTAAGAGATTGTATCGGAGAGAAGAAAACCAGTGGTTGCTTTCTAAGTAAAAGATGAGTTACAGGAGTAAATGGACTTTCCTGCTGGTGGTTCAGAGGGGTCAGAAGAAGGGGGAGGCAGAAGCCAGCCCCGCAAAGAAGCGGGGTTCAGCCTTCCAGGCTCAAAGTAAGGGAAGCTCCTCGATATCCCCCTTTAACCCGCAGCCTGTCGGGAGCCTTCAGGCTT